TAAGATGGGCATTCCAAATTGTCAGGGAACTTTGGCATCATTTCACTGTACAGAGGAAGTTTCCTCGAAGACCAGTCCCACAGTGTGAGCTGTAGAATAAGCTCACTAAGAGAAGCCATTAAGTTGTGGATATTTCTGAAAGCCTGGTTCTGAGTTAGATTTCATAACTCACTACCCAGCAGAAATTTGACATGTCTGTACATGTACAGTCACAAGGTGACCAACTGCAGAAGAAACTTGTCACATGTGGAGTGTCTGAGTTCATTCCTGTGGGGTTTTGCCAGCTTTTTAGCAAAATTGTAGCAATCCTCTTGAGGCAAAATTTAATACAGAACATGAAAGCATTTCTTAGTTAGGAATAAAGTTTTATAAGTGAGTTACCCTAAACATTTACTTAAAAAAAATTGCAGTCTTCAGATATAGCTTAAAATTGATGAATAAACAAACAAATCACATATATTGTCTGCAAAAACTAGTCTGGCCAGCTCTAGTTCATAGCCAGAAATTATTCATTTTGTGTTTTATAGTCATACTTCAAATAATCAGCAATGAGCTTATCTCCCAGGTACATTATAAGTGTCTGAGACACATGTAAAAATAAAATAATGTATTATTTATACTGTAGCCCACTCTTTTAGTCAAATGATGGAAGTTATACCTGAGTAAATGCTGAGTATAAAAGAGTGAAATTTTGTAATCCCACCCCTTACACTAGTGAGCAGCTTACCTGCTCTGCAACTTATGTATGGAGACCTGGCCATCTAAAGACCAAATTGGGAGGCACAGCCTTGGTTTGGCTCTGTACTCTCTCTAACTTATCTCATAACTTGGACTGAGTTGGGGAAGTTGGGAGCCAGATCCCTATGGGTACAGATCCAGATGGCTGTGTTGAGAACTGCAGATCTGATGTAGCAGGTGAACCTTTCTTCACAGCATGAAGCAGTCCCTGTGGGCTCACTGGTGGTGTCTCTGGAGGAGGAAAGGGTGGAAAGACCCACACTATAAATCCACCCCTCAGATCTGCTCTTTGCTGTGTATCTCACACTTGTGCCAGTGCTGAGACCTTTCCTTTGCCTGAGTGGCACAGTCCGATACTGTCTGGCAAAAAATAGATTGTGTGCTTGAATTACCAGACAAGAAACAGTTGCTTTATATGATGGGATATTTTAACATCATGGAATGTTTCTTGATGCACTCACTCAGCCATAAAGCTGCTTTCCTGTTTATCCAAAGAAGTCAGCATTTGCAGTTTTCCCATGTGGATACATTGCTTGGTACCAGGCCCCTAACCCCTTCCGTAATCTATCACAGAATATTTTAGCTTGGAAAGCATCTCTGGAGATTACCTAGGTAAAATTTTAAGTTAGATCAGGCTGCACAAATCTTTGTCACTTCTAAATTTTTGTTTCAGAGTGTGTCTGAACAGAGAAACTCCAAGGATTGTCATTAAGAGAAGGTACAGAATGACATAGTAATTTAGAACAGCATGCAGCTTCACTAAGGCAGAACTGCAGCTGTTGCAGCAGACGCTTATAATCCCTGCCCCCTGCATCTATGGCACTGGGTTCCAGTGTTAGTTCATAGAATTGTAGAATATCCCGAGTTGGAAGAGATCTACAAGGATCATCAAGTCCCACTCCTGACTCTGTGCAGGGCACCTAAGACTCACATCACGTACCTGAGAGCATTGTCCAAATGCTTCTTGAACTCTCTCAGGGTTGGTGTTGTGACCACTTCCCTGGGGTGCCTGTTCCAGTGCCCACCCACCCTCTGGGTGAAGAACCTTTTTCTGACATCTGACCTAAGTCTCCTGTGACTCAGCTTCAGGACATCCCTCAGGCCCTGTCCCTGTCACCAGAGAGAAGAGACCAGTGTCTGCTCCCTTGATTCCCACCATGAGGAAGCTGTAAACCATGATGAGGTCTCCCCTCAGTCTCCAAGCTGAACAGACCAAGTGATATCAGACACTCCTCATATCCTCCCCTCCAGAGCTTTCACCATCCTCATGGCCCTTCTTTGGTTGTTCTCTAAGAGCTTAATGTCATTTTTATATGGTGGCTCCTAAAACTGCAATGGACTTGAGGTGAGGCCGCACCAGCTCAGCGCAGAGCAGGACAATCCCCTCACTCAACACTCACATTTTATCAGAGGAAAATCATCAGAGATGTTTAAATTCATCAAGGTAAATAGCTGACTTACATCCATGTCAATCAGTTCAGAAGCCTGTACCTCTGGTTTCTTCTGAATTCACTGCTATTATTCAATAAGGTTTGATTTCAGACTATGAAAATCCTGAGGTCAGGGCAGTTTGCATGTGCATCTTCAGAGATGAGTCACCAGTGCTCTGGCTGGCAGGGGCTGTCAGCAGCCATGTTCTGCTGCTGCTGCAGAATTCTTTAGCAATTGAAAGTTACAGATATTCAGCACCTTGCAGGTCTCTCCATGATACCTTAGAGAATTTGATCTCTGAGATGCATATAAAAATAAAAATCCAGAATTTTTTAATTAGCACCGCAACAGAATTTCACGTTCTTCCAAGAAACAATCACATTCTTCCAAGAAACAATTTAGTATTATTGGACTACTTTTGAGGACAAAATCATTTCACATATAAATACCAGAGGAGTCATTAAATAATTAAAAAATGAAATATGTAATAAATATAATCAATTGAGGATATATAATTTTGGCATAATGGTTCTTTACAAAAGCGTAAGAATATATAAGAATAAAGCACAGAAATATCTATGGCAATTTTAAGATAATAAAAAGTATTGTATTTATATTAAGACTGGTTAATATTAATTCAATGCAGAAATGTCATAGTCAATAACAATTTCAACATGTCACAGAAATACAACACCACAGATTAAATGGAATTATGCTGTGAAACACTCTACAGACTCGTACTCAGGCTGGTTCCTGATCTGTCTGTTGAATCACATAAAAATATGGAGAAGTTGTTTAGATAAACACTGCCAGATTTGTATTATTCTTGTTTTTTAAATTTTTGTTTAAAGGCACAAGGAACTACTATCAACAAGTTATTCATTGGCTGATCTCAGAGTGCAAAAAAAACAACAGGGGATTGCAATATCAATCAAAATAAATGCACCTTTTATTGAATGACTACAGCAAATGCATTAAAGGAATTAGGAAAAAGGAAAAAAATAGAGAAAGAGAGAGGGTATAGCTACCAAACGTAGAGAGAGGAAGTCCTTGTGGTCCAGTTGATGGAGTTCACCTAGTCACCTTGGGGAGATCTCAAAGTCCCGGTTATCTCAGGGTTCTATTCCATTGCTGAGGGGGGGAAACAGATCTTGAAATTGCCGAGGGGGAACAGATACAATAGAGAGAAAGTCCTTGTGGTCCAGCTGATGGAGTTCACCTAGTCACGTCGGGGAGATCTCAAAGTTCCTGTTATCTCAGGGTTCTATTACAGTCCATTGCTGAGGGGGGGAAACAGATCTTGAAATTGCCGAGGGGGAACAGATACAATAAAGAATAAGTCATTGAAATCTCTGAGGGAGAAAAAGGTATTGAAGATGGGTACAGACAGTTCATGTTTTCAGCAGGATAAGTCAGCATCAGCAGCGAGTGGGACCCATTGTTTCAGGACTGGTTTCTGGAGTCTAGCTCCAGTGAACACATCTGCAGGCAGCACTTAGCAGGCATCCTGCTTCAGTCAGCCCAGCACCCCTGTATCACGATTATGGGGGTCTCAATCTCTGTCTGTCATGGTGGTAGTGGAGCAGAAGAAGGATTTTCTATGGGGGAGCTACCAAAGTTGCCCCAGCAAGTTCATTGGGCCAAGAGGTGGGAAAATTCCTGGGCTGTTGTTGCGAAGCAAGTGCAAGCATATATGGCATGTTGCCCCCTGCTAGAAGCAGTCCCTGTAGACACAGCTGTGAACAATCACTTGGCAGGCCAGAACTCTGCTCAGGGGCCTCAGGATTTTGGTTCATTCACCTCTGGCAGGCCAGAATTCCCATCAGGGTCCTCAGGATCCCGATGTCTGTCCTTGGGATGGTCGTGAGGCAAACAAGGGGAACTTCAGACCGTCTCTCACGATGTTTGAGGGAGTTCCCAGCTGTGGGGAGGAAGGACTGTGCTCTCCAGGCTGCCAACCTTCCATACCATCTGTGAGCCTACCCATAGCTTCTACAGACTCCTACACAGTAGAAGTGGGATCAATAACAAAAGGGAAGGGTTAGCTTAGTCAGAAACAAAATATGAGTTCAACAAACATTTGGAGATGGCATAAAAGCAGTCCCTGACTCCACATGGAAATATATACATTTTCTGTATATTTCAGTACATTCTAGGTCTATGCAAAACAAATAATATTTACTCATTGTAAACTATCAAGCATTAAAATTGTAATTTGAAGAATTTCAGGGCAGTGCGGGATCTTGACTAATGCAGCAGCAATACTGTTGGTCTGTGTTATCAGGCATTTTTTTTGCCATCTAATTCTCCTGGAATGTGTGATGTAGCTGAAGTTACATACTAGACTATGAGGAAGACGTTTACTCATTTTTAATATTTTCCACTGGTTAACCACAAACGTTAACAGCAGAGCACATGTATGAGAACTGGAACATGTACCTCCTCAAGAAGCAAAAATTTCAACATTAAGAACAGCATATCGTTCTCCTCTGCAGTGCTTTTTTAAAATTTTGCTCAGAAGATAAAACTGGTTTTATTTCATATGAGAGAAAGAGTCAGTCCAAAACAAAAAAAAACGTTTAGGATCCCAAATTGAGTCAAAGTAAATTACTTCATTTATTTCACGTATCCTTAGCAAAGCAGTATTTTCATCAGTGGTACTGCTGGGCAAAGTTAATTGTAGGAGACAAACAGAAATGTGAATTACTGCTCCCATAGTGACCTCAAGGAGTTAATGGCCCATGCAGGATGTGCAAGATGATGTCAGCATGTAAAAACTCCTGTCCTGCAGCTGGCATTGGGAACTTCATATTTGTTCCAGCAGCTACCAGCTAGCTGCCACTTTCCTGATCTCTGCCACTGGTACAGGCCTTCTGAATGTCAGATGAATCTGTTATTTCTTTGTTTTTTTTTCTTTGGCCCCCTTCCTCTGATTCTTTCAGCATTTCCAATTTTATGTTGTCAGTATTGTGATCAGTGGATGAATTTAGCTTGGATGAGTTCTGTCTCCCTCTCCATCTTCTCAGGCACCTATAACAGTCTTTTCTGACGTTTTCACTGACCAGAACGTAGATGATTGGATCAGCAACACTGTTTGCAGTGCCTAAACACAGAAACACTGTAAAAACTGAATATATCTTATTTTCAAATGGACATGGGCAGTCCTGATGAACCAGAAAATATATGGCTCTTATTAAGAGAACCACATGGTATGGAGCAAAGCACATCAAGAAAATAACAATAACGGCAATAGCCACATGCTTCACTTTGGCTTTCTCACGACAAGTCAAGCTGCTGCTTCTTTTTATAGCTTGGAAAATTTTGCAGTTTGTAAAACACAGGATTAGGAAGGGTACGACAAATCCAAACAGGAATCTAGCAAAACTGAAATAAGCCAATAATATGTCAAGGGGCACTGTCTCAAAGCAGGTTTTCACCTCTGTACAGTTTTTCTTATCTTCCATAAAAAATACTGGAGTGTGGATTCCTGCAACCACAGCAAAGAGAAGACAGACTATAATGGTGGCTATTTTCTGTTGTCTTCTCCCCCTTGATTGCAGAGGATGGACCAGTGCCATGTAACGATCCACAGAGATGCAGCACAAAAGCAGAATGCTGATGTAGATATTGCAGAAAAAGATGAATCCTGTTATCCTGCAAGCAGTGTCACCCATGGTCCACTTGTGCCCGTTTTGCACATAGATAATCCACAAAGGCAAGGTACTTAAATACATCAGATCACACAATGATAAACTGAAAATGTAGATGGCAACTACTTTTTTCCTTCGGATTTGTACAAATGTAAGCACAGAAGTTAAGCAGTTTGCTGGAAGGCCTATAGTAAAAACGATGCTGTAAACAACAACCAGAAGTGTCTGACTCTCTTGATAAGGAATTTCTGGGCAAGTGGAATTACAATTTTCATGTAGACAGCGTTCCATTATTCTATTTCCAGCTGATATTTCCTGAGAATCAGAAGACAAGGTGGAAAGTTAGCATTGCATCACTTAAAAATATGTGTAGTAAAGGTTTTGGTCCTATAGGTGCCAACTTGACATATCAGTGGAGCAAGTGGAATGGGGGATGTTTGAAAGGTTCCTCCTCAGACATGAACTGAGAAAGAGAGGGTCACATTCCTCCACCTCTGAGAGTTGGACTGGATTTTGGTGGCTATGTGGAAGCTCTCTCAAGGGGGATCTGAAGTTTTGTCCTTGGACATAAAATCATCCATCTCCTTTTTGTCAGTTCCCATTCTAAAATCATACTGTAAATGCTAAAACTGCCATCAATCCTCATGCCAAGCATCACCTGCACCCAAAATCTCACATGGGGATCAGTCTACAGAAATAAGGCAGAGGAATATGAAGTTGTGGACCAGCTTAGATATATTTGGGAAGAAGGAAAAAAAAAAAAAAAAAAAAAAAAAAAGCAAGCTGGGTTCAGTATTCATTATTGTCCCATCTTCACAACGACTGGAGAAAAGAATCCTCACTGTTGTGTGGAGAAGATGGCACAGTACTCAGACAAGTGACAGAACCTGAGGGAATAGCCTGAAGGGGTGTCAGGGGAGGTTTAGGTTGGATATTGGAAGAAGGTTCTTAACTCAGAGGGTGGTTGGGCTGGTGTTAACTTATGAACACGGTGGTTGCAATAAGGGCTGGTGGCAATGTGGTTTTTGCTGCCCCTGGGCATCTGCCACCTTTAGTGGAGGAGGAAGGGTCTCTTCTGGGCCACCTACCAAACTGCTGTGTAGAGGGGATAAAAAAGGTGCTTGATCTCAGGGTCAGCAGTGGTTCTCTGCCCAGGCCTCGTTTGTGAGCTGACATACAGAGCTTGTCCTCGTCTCAAAACACACCTGGTGGTGTGAGAGCTGCTGTACACCTGCACACCACAGAGCTGCTGTACACCTGCAATGCACAGAGCTGCTGTACACCTGCACACCACAGAGCTGCTGGACACCTGCAATGCACAGAGCTGCTGGACACCTGCAATGCACAGAGATGGTGCACACCTGCAATGCACAGAGATGCTGCACACCTGCAATGCACAGAGCAGCTGTACACCTACACACCACAGAGGGTCTTGGAGACCTCCCTTTCTATGGTGAAGCACAACAGGTGAATAGAACTCACAGTCAGGCAGATGGTGACATCCAGGGCAGGGACAGGGCACAAGTCACACACCACCTCAGTTACTCATCAGCTTGTCTATCCCACACACCTCCATAAAAACACCTTCAGGAGTGGTTGAGGGTGCTCTCTCCTTCCCTCCTCCTGCCTTTACTCACTTCTCCTGATCCTGTGCTTGTCTGAATGTTCTCCTTTCTGTAGGGCTTCCCCCAGAGCAGTCAGTGATGGTGCAGGGCAGTAAACAGTGGAAGGGTTCTGGGACACATGCTCCCCATGCGTCTTTGTTTGTTTGTTTGCCTTGCCTCTTCCCTTCCCACTTTTGCTCCAAGTCTCCTTCCCATGCTCAGCACCCATGAGGGAGCCTCAGGAAGGAGATGCCTGTGACTTTCTAAGCTACCTGCCTGGAGCAGGCATTTTTCCTTGGTGTTTGGCATATGGACTAAGCCACAGGGCTGGGGCTGAGCCGAAGAGACCTTCACATGTAGGTGGCTGTCAGTGCCAAGCACAATGCCTCAGCTGACAAAGTGCAGCCATGGGCATGGACCTGCACTTCAAAAGAAAATTGGGTGCTGAAGGACTGTCCTGAAGCTTTGACCTGTCAGCTTTGGGGCTTTGGAGGAGGAGTGCTCTAAGTCCCAGCCCGATATAAGGAAGGAGGAGAGGAGGCCACCCATTTGCTCCACTCCTCACCTTCTCCAGCCTCTCAGCCCTGTCCAGGGAAGAGTCTTCTTCCACTGGCCACTGCATCCACCTCCAGCTCACAGCTTCACTTGCCTCCACTCAGTTCTCCAGGCCTGCAGAGAGGTTTCCTCCTCAAACTGAAGATCACAAAGCAGCACTCAGCAGACAATTTATGACATTTATCCTGGTGACGTTTTCTCTTGTGTTGACACACCTTTAAGGGGAAGGAAGTAACACCTTGTGTTACTACAGGAAGGAAGGAACATCTTCCACACCCTGTGATTAAAGACAACTTCTCTGTGCCTCTACAGCCCTCTTCAATTGAAAGACATTCCTATCAGACCTTTAGAGTTTAATAGTTTGATGCTTGGCTCAGCCCAGACAATTCCCGTTTTTGTCTTCCTCTGGGATGTCGAGGCTAACCTGCATCTCAAGTATTAATTCAAATGAAATCCAGTAATAATTACACCAGTGAAAAAAACTATGCACCATTTTCTATTAATATTTGTGGTGATCAGTTTTGGTTTGAACACCAGAACTCAAGAGATTTATCACACCCACCAATTTTCAAGCATTTATAAATGATAAAACGTAGTGATGGTGGCAGGGATGAACAATATCCAAGAAGGCATTTGTGTGATACAAACTTTTCCAATGAGTTATCTTTGCTGCCCTGTATCCTTCAGTTGAGCAAGCCTCTCCACAGTAGCTGTTTTCACCTTTTTGTGGCCTCTCCTGATCTGCTAGGTCTCCCCAGTCATAGGTGTTACAGCAGCTGTGTTTTGCATCAGGAGCTCAGTGTATTTTTGTCAGGACTCTGACGCTTCTTTCTATGTGAGAGTCACTGCATGAGACATACCACAGTTATCATGTGCATGATTCTCACCTTCAAGGTGTGCAAAACATCTCATCTTCCAGGACTGAGAGATAACAAAGCACCTGAGCAAATATTAATATATTTGAGAGGTCACAAAGCACCTGAGCACAAATCACTTAGTACATCACAATGTACTAAGATTTGCTGCATGCCTCCTCTGTACTTACACTCTTCTAATTTTCTTATGCTCTGTCCATGCTGTTAGACATTTAGATAATTACATTTCGTACTCCTAAAATGCAGTGGCTCCTGCTGCTCATTTTGGCCAGTTGCATTAATCTTTTCTCAAGAAAAGTCTTTTCAGTAACACTGAAGTGTAAAAGAAGGGAAATGAAAACAAGCAGGAAAGCAAAAGGCTTTACCTTGTCTTTTTTTTTCTTTTCTGTTGTTTGTGTATGAATCGCTTATGTGAAACTGTTTAAGTTTCCAAAGGAGAAGTTGGAGTGATAAAAATAGCCACTATTAGAAAAAGAAAAAAAAAGAAAATTACAGTTATGGTTACAAGGCAGAGAAGGGTAAGTCAAAAAAAGCACAATAGTTGGACAGAGACTGGTTGAAAGTCTTTGGAGAAACTCACCTGAGATACACAGGAATGGAAGAAAAAAAAAGGACACAGTAAAATCCATAACATGAGTACAATTACATGAGCAAAGCACATTAATTAATATATTTTTTATTTTCTAATATTTTTTCTGATCATCCATCTCTTCCAGGGATTATTGTTACAGCCTAAAGTTTTGAGGCATTTATGTGGATATTAGGAACAATGTGAAATAACTGCTATGATGGTTAAAATGAAAACAAACTTTCCCTTCACACTTTCCTTCCTGTCCTCCAGTATCTGTAGAGGAAAACAACCTGAGTGTCTCAAAGCATAAATGAGCCTTCAGTGGAAGAGGCCCTGAGTTTCTCCTGGGGATTCTGTGTCAGTGGAAGAGGACCTGAGTTTCTCCTGGGGATTTTGTGTGCTTTCCTTGGTAGAATGTGGTGCTGGAAGATTTGACACGAGGGTGCCAGCAGGAAGTCAGTTGGACACTCAAATCTATACTGAAACACATCAGCTCCCAGATGTGACATTTATGCCACCTACAGTGCTTGTCACCAGCAGTGTCACCCTTCCAACGTCTGAACCTGGGCTTCTCCTCGTGCAGAACTTACAATAATTGCCTGTAAATTATCAACTGATAAACCTTTGTGTCTCTTAACTTGAAACTGAGAAATTGCTGTGCTATTTGCTCTGCTGTTCTTGAAAGAAGGAAAAGTGTTTATGGTGTCTTTGAATAGAAACAGATCGTGGCCCCCATGCCCAGCAAGTCAGTGAACTTCTTTATTTTTTTCCATTATTAATAAACAAATTAGTAAATGAAGTCACTCCTATAAGCAAATCTCAGCATAAAAAGGAGAAACAGTCATGGCTCCACTTGGTTGCCCATCAGAGCAATCATTTTTACTGACACGCACAACACAGCGGGATTTGAAGCTGTATAATTTGAAATTTGAACATAAGCCCATGTATTTTCAAGCAACTTTGTTTCAAATTTGAAAATAATATATGAATATATAATCTTGGCACTATGTATTTTCAAAACTCTGTTTAGAAAAAAATGTGTTTTAGAGCTATCCTGGCAATCCAGCCTGAGCACAACTCTGTCCTAAAATATCTTTCTTCCAGTGGTGGAGCAGATAACCCCTCTCTTGGCTAGTGCTGGTTAAAACAAGTTTCAGCATTTGTAGGCTGAAAGCAGCAAGACCCTGGGATTAGTTATACAGACTTTATATTTAATTCTATTTTGCAGATATGAGATGTAATGCAGATATAAGCAGTCTTACAAAGATATTAAAATAAAGATAATAATAAATATAAAAATAAAGAAGATAATAAAGAAGATACATGGTAAAAGAGAGAAGTTATTAATCAATTGCCTTTCAGGAGGGGAGCAGCTCAGCAATCTTTCCTGAGGAGGGAAAGATACTTGATTTACCTCAAGATAACCCTGTTCATAGATGTGAACTCTCAATGACTATAGATTTTTAAATACCTAAGTGCAGGTTTTTACATAAATCCATACATCCACTTCCCCCTTTCCACAATCTAGAAATCCCACAATAGTACTAAATGTGTTAAATTTGCTAAAATGGGCAGCTGTGGTATTAGTAAGGGTAGCTGTCATAATCCAGGTTTGACAAAGGCCCAGTTTTAAAATGTGATCCTTCCTTAATCTGGGTGTCCTAGTGCCATGCTACCTGGAGAGGGACTGTACAGGAGAGAAGAATGTCTGGTGGGTGGGGGAGAAATGTTGACAAAAGATGCTTGTACTGGGTTTAAGGCCACGTTATTCAATGTATATAAAAGCAGGTAAAACTCCTTAAACATTGTAGGTAGGGGAAGTTCACAGGTGAAAAATAGACCCCAAAATCCACCTGTACCAGGGGGCTTTGGTCTCATGATTCAAAGGCTATGAGTCAGGATTTTGGGACTTCAGACCTAGCAGTTTCTCAGTCCTCCCTGCGAGCATCAGAGTGCAGCTATTGCAGGGAAGGTTTATTCCCTGGTACCCACCAGCTTGTGTGGAAAACATCCCACAGCCAGAGAGGAATGGATCCATGGCCAGGAGAAGCATCAGGAAGCCCAGAAAAGCTGTCACAAATTTGGGGCTAAACTGTAAAGCCTGTCAAGCCAAAAGGCTGAGGTGAGTGTAGGTGTTGGAGCAGCATCAGTGAAAGTGAGCAACTGAGAGCAGCTCTGCTTCACACCTCACCACACCTGAAACCACCAAGCACTCCGTGACTCCCGAAAGCCACTGCAGCTTAATTGGTGACCTTGTCATTTGGGCTAATTTTATATAGCTTTTGTTAAAGAAGGGGCCCATCTGGAAACCCAGCTGACCAAACTTTCCTGCTGGCTTGCTCTGAAACTACGGAGTTTTAGAAAAAGTGGATGAGAGTGGTGATGGCCATTCCTCTCTCCTGCATCAGAGTGCTCAAGGATGCTGAAGCACAGCCAAATACCAGCAGATTTGGCACTAAGGGTATAGAAGTGGATGGATACTGCTCTGGATTACTAAAAGAACAGTCTGGGATGTTGGAGAACAGGCTGAGATATCAGAGAACAGGATGTTTTAACAAGGTGAGGAGGTCTGGCTATGCTGACACAGTTAGAGATGGATGTGTTTTATTGCCAGGTTTAAGGAAAATCTGACTTCAAGCAGCTGAACAAAGAAGCACCAAGACTTATGTCCAAACCCACCACTGTTCCCCTTAAAAAGTGGTGCTCTGTTATCCTTTAGATTTTAGGATTTATCCCCTTATGGATATCATCCTCCTTATTCTTAGCCTCCAGGCCTTCAAACACACTTAGAGCCATAGAAAGGCCCAGTCCATAGAAAGGCCATGTCCACCCCAACCTACTGTGACTCAAAATCATCTCTGGGGTAGAAACTGTTCAAGTGGAGCTGCTGAACATATTCATAACCAAGCACATCTGATCAAACTCCCAAATCCACAAGTGTCCCCTCTTTCCTGCACTGACACCTTCACTGCAGTCATTGCAGTCACAGGGATCACAGGCTCTTTCTGCATCCCCAGAATGTGTTTGTCTCTTTCATCCCTGTCCAATCCCCCAGTCAGAGCATGGCTTATCTGTGCTGCAAAGAGTGAGTGCAGACAGGATGGCTTTTCTTTCCAGGAGTAGGAAAATGTGAAGATAGTGTTGAGCTTTGACCCTGTGGCAGTAGATTATCTCTCCCTGATAGGAATCCTGGCCCTGCCCTCGTGGGTCTGCATGGAAGCTGCTGTGGTGCATCCCCATCAGTACTAAAGATGGTGCTGGGGAAAAACAGAGCAAAGAGTTGCCCAAAATAATTTTATGATCTGTTAGACCTGGGCTCACTGACATAACGGCTGCTACTGACTAGTCTAGCTAGTTTAATCTCAAAATTGTTTTACTTTTGTCTAAAGTAGATGTCTCTGAGCAATAGGATTTGTAAAGCCTTGCAAAAACCACGATGCCTTTTTTACTTGAAACAATCCTATTTTTAACAGTGCCTACAAATGGTATTTAACAGTGCTCTGAACTTAGAAACAAATATTTCCTCCTTCTTCATTTACTGTGAAACACAATTTCTTTGTTCCCTTTTGTCCTCTGATTTGCTCTCAACTAATTGGAGAACTTCCATTTTCCTTTTTGACA